GCCAATAGCTTAAATCCCAGTCCAAAGGCTGGAGGGGATAAAATGAGGTGTCCCAGCTCAAGCAGGCAGGCAGGGAGCAAAACAGGGCAGATTCTCCCTTCTTCTGCCTTTTGTTTTATTCAGTCCCTCGACAGATTGGATGGTCCCCACCCACTTGCTGTGGGGGCAATCTACTTGACCAGATCCACTGAATCAAATGCTAATCTCATCCAGAAACACCCACACAGGTGCCCCAGAAATTATGTTTAGTATGGACATGCTGTGGTCAGTCAAGTTGACCTATAAAATTAACCATCACAAATACTAAAGGCAGAAAATATAAAAATTATAAAAATTACTATGACATCCAAACAAAATACATTTGTGCATCTACGTCAGCCCACTGTTCTCAGTTTAGGAACTCTGATCTAAATCCATACTGAGAAAAATGATACCTCTTCATTCAGTCTTCAAAGCATATGCTCTAACCTTGGAGTCAATAGGAGTTATTGTTGAACTCAACAGTGTTTTGCTCACTGCTGCTCCTCTAGGAAGAGGACACATCTGAATCACCCACTAAGGGCTGTATTAACATTAGTGGATGTGCCCTCTACCCCCCACTTAACTGTGCTATATTTATTCTCCATTTACACTTTCCATCAAGCCTCTCCCTTTACCCCCACCCTTCCTGCTCTCCCTTTACCTGGCTGATGCCTATTTACACCTCAGGTCTCAGCTGAGGTGGGACTTCCCCAAGGGAGCCTTCTCTATCACACCACCCATGTTAGTTTGGACCTCTCTTATGCATTCCCACAGTACACTGTACTTAATTGTTCATAGAGCCCTTCATAATTTTAAATATCTGCTCCAGCTGCACTGATCACGTTGGAAGCAAGCTGTAAATCAGATGATATTGTATGAGTGAGGTTGTGCAACAACATGAACTTTTTAACATCAATAATGGGAGGGAAAATTTACACAATATGTAACATCATAGAAATTCAACACCTAGGAATAAACCCCTGAGAAACTATTTCGTATGTGTGCAAGAAGATAATTGATAAGAAGGTACATAGCAGTACTGTTTATAATGCACATCACAGGATATGGATAATTTACATTGTATTAATGAAAGTATATTCATAAAATGGACTACTGGGCAACAATAAAAATGAAGATATTAAAGCTACATGTACCAATAGATGACCTTCATAGACATAAGTCTAAGAGGAAAATTTGAAGCATAGAAGACACCCTGCAGCATGGTATCATTTATATAAAGTTTAAAAATATCTCAACCAAATTATAACTTGTTAAGGGAACATATAGATGTAGTAAGTTGTATTAGTTTGCTCCAGATGCTGAAACAAACTGGATGGCTTAACCAAAAGAATTTCATCTCACAGTTCCGGAGGCTATAAAAGTTGAGATCAATGTGTCACCGGGGTTAGTTCCTTCCGAGGGCTGTGAGGGAGAATCTGTTCCTGTCTCTCTCCTGACTTCCGGCGGTTTGCTGGAAATCTTTCACGTTCCTTGGCTTGTAAACGCATCATCCTGATTTCTGCCTTCATCTCCACATCGCGTTCTTCCTGGTATGTGTCTGGCTCTGAGTCCCAATAGCCCCTTTTCTAAAGGACATAGTTATACTGGTTTAGGGTCCTCCCCTAACGATCTCTTCTTAATTTAATAATTAGCAAAGGCTCTATTTTCAAATAAGGTCATATTCACAGGGCATGGGGGTTAGGACTTAAACATATTTGGGGGGTACAATTTAACCTATAACATATATAAAGAAATTCATGATAATGATAAATGCTAAATTAAGGAAAATGGAATTTCAGGGGAAAAGGGGGGATATGTGTTCAGGAAGAGATTAAGGGGACTTCAGCTGCTGTGGGAATATTTTGTTTCTTCAGTTGACCATGAATACGAGTACTCTGATCTTCCAGAAATCACTGTTCCCCTTTCTTGGTGAGTTGGAGGAGAACTGAGGACCCCAGAAATCCAAAGAGTTGTTGCTCCTTTATTATTGTCACTGGATGATCAACAGTTGAGCAGAGACACTCAGATGCAAAGAGGCCACAGCATCTTTCATGACATGTCCATTATCTGAGAACTTAGAGATGAAGATGTTAGTATGTAGAGATCCATAGGCACTGGCATTGCATGTCTGCCACCATATGAATCTGGATGGTTGTTGGTGGGTAGCCTTAAAGAATTACAGTGACTACATTTTCCTAATGGCAAATGTATATAAAGAATGAACTGGAAGGATCTAGAGGGAACAAAGCATATGATATAGCACATCTCTGGGGATATGAGTACAGAGTAAGTCTGCCCAAATTCCCAATTATCTCCCCGCTTTTGGGAATTGCCCCAAGAAGTGGGTCTTGCCATCATGTTTGTACTATGTGCCCCTACCCCTCTCATCATGGTCGACTGAACCAGGGATGAGCGCAGACCAAAACTGGCCAATCAGATGTGGACATGGAACTGGGGCTGAGAAGTATGAGTCTCTGCAGCTAAATGGAAATGTAACATCTGAAATTGGGTGCTACGGGGCAGCCACATTCCACATTTTGGACAGGAAACTTAGAAAGACTGTCTGCTCAGAAAGACAGAGGCAGAGAGAGACAGATGGAGAGAACCAGTGAATCAGGGGATGCAGAGATAAGGAATGAAAAAGGGAGGGCCTCCCAGGTGCTCGTTCTGAATCCTTTCTGAGGTCCTCCTGTCCGTGGGTTATGTGAAAGATTCCTACATCCTTAAAATAGAGGTGAGCACAGGTTAGTGCCTATAACCAAAGAGACGTAACTAATAATAGCTTGGCAGATGGTGGCGACAAAGCACAAAAGAGAAAGGAATGAATTTCTCAGCCTAATAGGTGGCAGGAATGATGCATATTTCTCAGCCTAACAGGTTGCAGGAATGATGCATCCGGTCCCATTCTTCCAGCCTCTCCCACCTGCTACCTTTCCACCAGACTCAGTAGACAAATTTCCGTTATTTTTCAACCCAGAATGGGAAACAAATGGAAGAAACAAAACCTGTAAGTGATTAGCATCAGCCAAATGGAGCTGGACAGACTCCAGCCACCCACTCAACCACCCTCAAGCAGCTGTCTCCAAGAGTTACATGGGAACAACCAAGCCAGTAAGAATTCAGCTTTAGGAGCACACAGGAACCTATCTTGGACCAGTCGTAGGAGCAGGAAAGGAGAAGTTTGAGTGGCAAAGGTGAGAACTAGCAAAAAGAGAACTGGTGTAGACAGAACAACCAAATACTTTTTAAACCTCTTTAAGGGCTATATTAGTCACTACTGGATGAGTCAGTAATAGTTTGCAAGCAAAAAAGAAAAAAAAGCCTAACTCATATTTTGGAATGTTTCCACATCTATCAGCTGCCCCAAAATAGCAACAGGCACCTATCAGAGGAAGAACATCATCCTTAAGGAGCTACACACAACTAACTTGTACCCAGACCACAAGCACCAGTAACCATGTCTTATTCAATTTTGTGTCATCAGTAGCATGGTGCCTGATTTAGAATTGGTGCTCAATGTGTGCTTGGTGAAATTGATTACATTGAATTGAATGAGCTGTCAAGATGATCAATATTGGTTCCACAAGTTGGGAATAGCCTCTTGATTTTTGCAACCATAGGTGAATGTCTAATACTAATTCATGGAGCCCATGTTTCTGCCCAAAAAAGAGAAAATCAGAAAGCTACTTTTCTATCAGAAAAGTTTGAAACAGCGTCTCCTACACCATAACATAACTGGGAAGAGAAAATGCCCAAAGCCTCCAGGTATAAAGAACTGGAACTTCAGCTCTAAGTAAAGTAAGCCAGTGAAGCATTCCTTACATAACAGGTTAGTTTCTCTGCTATGAAAACCACCTATTTTCCCTTCCACACTACCAATATGCCAACCAGCATCAAATATTTTCATCATTTAATTAAGAGGTTTGTGAGTAACCCAGTGGGGTTGAAAAATAGATAAATGTCCAGTTGAGACAGCTCAGATGGGCTCAGCAAAGCCTCACATCTTCCAGTGGACAACCTAGTAATGACAGATGTGCTGGAAGCCGCTGTTGCAAGGGGTTCCCAGGCATCAGGGACAGCATGAAGGGTTAACATGGACTCCGAGCTCCCATGAAGGGCAGTGCCTCCCAGAATGCTGGTGGATGGTCTGTGGGATTGGTCTGGCTTCTACAGGCCCCACAGCTTTGGGGGACAGTGATCTTGTTGTTGACTACTTTCCTTTGCCTGTGGTTCCCTTAGGTGGACCCCTTCCCCCTGCTTTCTCTCCAAGCCCATGCCCCAATCTACTTCCTACTTTCCTCCAGGCCTCAGTGATTTTCATTTCAAGCTCCTTTAGGTAAGCGTTTTATAATATATATAACATTTGTGTTTAGCACCAGTCTTTAACATAGCAGAGTTTGCAGTAGGCTCTCAACTATATAGATTTTTGCATGAATAATGAAAGAATAATAAAAAATACTTTTAAACAATACAAAAATAATCTCCAAGTTTTGTTATACATAGACATGTGGGCTGGTGTGATCTAGCCTGATGGTTGAAGTCAGGACTTTTATGTACACACACAGATACTTTGGTGGTGCAAATACTCAGTACCCTTTTCAGAATGTCTCTCTTGTGTAATGGGCATTTGTTGACTATGCAGTTCAGCTTGCTTTCTCCCTTCCTGTCTCCTGACTTCCTTTAAGTTTCACTGAGTCCCACACATGTGCTTCCACCAGAATTCTGTGCTCCTGAGGCACTGGAAAGGCTATATGCAAATGGGGTGGCAAAGAATAGCAGTGAACATGCATACATACAGCACCTCAATTTCTATCAGGGGAATGACTTCTTCCCCACTGTGTACAATATTGAACTGTCAGTTAAGGAGATCTGTACTTTAGCCACATAGCAAGCCAAGGTGAATGGATGTGGTTCCCCTTCTGGACACTGCTGGGCTGTGCTGCAGGGCAGAGAGAACATATGCACTCCCTAAGACTGACCTTTGGTTCCTGTGCCTGGATCCTGGAACTTTCTTGATTTCTGCCTTTTCTGAACCTGTTTTCTCTGTTGTTCTTCCAGTTCTGTGAATATCTAGCATCTTTCTGAAACAAAACAAAAAATGTTTTTTATTAAGTTAACCAAGTTGGTTTCACTTTCCTTACACTGAAAATTTCAACCAATGCATCTAAGGAGGCATTTTCCTACCTACAAATGCTTGGCTTGTCAGCACCATCTTACTACCCAGGACTGGCTACCTTATTTGTGAGCCCAGTGAAAAATGAAAATGTGAGGGCCTCTATATAAAAGAAGGGGCAAGTATCATTGGAGGTACTAAAATATAAACCATTTCCTTCTGTGGTCTCTCGACTCATCATGTAGTTTCTTTTTCATTTCATGTCATTATAAATTTTTTAAAAATTTGAAATTGTTATGATGAACTTTACTGTTGTTATTTATATTGTGCAATGTTTGTTTCAAATACAAATGTCAGAGCGTTTAACTGATACTTAGAATCATCAAAATTACATAATTTGCATTTCATAGCTCATACTTACATATGTATTTCATTCTTACCAGAGCAGTGACAACACCACAGAACTACCCCAATTGTTTTTATTTCACTTCTTGGTACATGCACACTACATCTTAGACTTACTGATGAGTAAGAAGGGACCAAAAGGAGTAGGGATTATAGGAATTCCCCCTTTATGCCACCATTTTCAGCGTAAGTTTAAGGGAAGAAACACAAATGAGAAAGGATATGATAAAGTTCCTGGGTCGTTCATGTTTCTTAGAAATCATTGCCTTCTTTTTGCATTCAGAGCAGGTTCTGGTTAATATGGAAAGCCTCACTGCTTGGGGCTGTCAGCTTCCCTGGCCACTTATCACAAACATCTTTGAGTCTCACTGAGTCCCACACATTTTGTATGCATCAGAATTCTGCTCATGGGGCACTGGAAAGGGTAAGTGAAATGGGATGGCAAAGAACAGCAGTGAACAGATATACTGTTCAGACCTCCTCTGCTCACACACCTACTCCATTATCCCAAAGAACTTTACTTATTAATTATAAATTCAGTAATAAAATTAGTGAAAATTTTAGGACAGGACAGTAGACAAACCACATCTGGGCCTGGGACCCTGTGTGACCACATAGGCCAGATATTATGAAATGGGGCCTGATACCACTGCTATTTGTATTTGGAGCAATAGCAGTCAAACAGCCTACCCTCCCATCAGTTTCCATCCTGGATTCTGCTTCACCTGTGGATTCTCATTACAAGGAGGTGTCCCTATGTGTGACTCACCCCAGTGTCCTTTCTGTAAGATTCAAGGGAGACTTAGAGGAGGTGAAGTGTCAAATAAGGGTTTTATGCTTTTCCTCATTAGGTGCATTTCAGAGAAGCCTCTTAAACACCACTTAACAAAAGGTCAGGGAGAAAAATCCCTGAATATTCTACTGCTTCCTGTAACTGAAAAAGAAGGGAGATTTGACAATAGTGGCAGGAGAGTATCCAATAGTGAAGCTTCACTAGAAAAGACGAGAACATGCTGGAAACATCCTTGGAGAGAAGCCTGGAGAGTGACCTTGTTCATTCCCAAAGCCTCAGCCCTGCCCTCCTATTGTTTCACTTTGGATGTGAAAGCATTTGAGTCATGGACGCATAACAATTTTGAATTGGAAAGCACCTTTGAGATCATCAGATGGGACTAATTTTATAGATGCGATTAGATGACTCTCCAGAGGTCACAGCCCTAGTAAAGCACCAGACAAAGACCTTAATTTTTAACTTTTATCCCCACCATTAGCCACAGCATACTTTCTCCTAAAGATAAAAATGAAGGATATACTATATGGTTCTAGTTATACAATGTTCTTGAAGTAACAAAGTTACAGCAATGGAGAACAGATTAGTGATTGTCGGGGTTAGAGAGAAAGGCCGGGGTTAGAGAGAAAGGCCAAGACGAAGTGGGAGCAGCCAGGACAGGGAAGTGTTGGGTCCTGTGGTGGTTCTGTGTCTTGACCGTATCAGTATCAAAGTACTGGCTCTGATACTGTGCTGTATTTTTAAATCACTTGTTAGGGGAGACTGGGTGCAGGAGACATAGGGTCTCTCTGTATTGTTGCTTACAACCACATGTGACTCTACAGTTATTTCAAAATAAAAAGTTTAACTTAAAAAATTAATAAAGGACATATTTCAAGTTTATTACTTTAACCATTTATAATAAATAAAAAGGGAACTCAAATAGTAAGTTGATAATAATAGAAATATTGAAATGAACACTATTCTTGTTCATGAGAGACTTAGGTTATTCCTGAGCTATTCCTAAACTATTCCTGACTTTTCATTGTTATTAGGCCTTACTCTTCAAACGTTTTTCCTGTCATAGCTGTTTGGCAATACCCTTCCAAAAGAGCAAGATACCGAAGTCCCAGAATACACAAAGGGAGGTGACACTGTGTTACTGGTAGCCAAGAATGTTCACGTCTAGAACCTCTAGACAATGTTGTTTCATCTCTTCAAGATGTTTCAGTGTAGGAGGAGAGAAATTTTTAAAGGGCTGTCCACTGAATACAAAACCACCCAATAAAAATTATTAAGGCCATCTGGGGCTATTAAAGCTTGTCCTGAAAGAAAACAGAAATACTCCAAATTAGTTCCCCTCATCTCAAGTGGTATGAATTATAGAATGATGGTGCCACTTCCCTGAGTAAACATGGGTCTCATCTCAGCCTTCTGCACTGATTACCACCAGAGAGCAACTGTTCATTCTTGGGCAGATACATCCCCGCCTAACAGGTGGCTTCAAGGAAAGAGGGAATGAAAAAAAGGTTAAAGACATTAAAACTCACAATAAGAATAATGAATTGGCTTCAAAGAAAGCTCTAAACAGGGAAGCTCTTCGTTCTACAGGATTCCCATTGGGTCAACATTGAGTCCATTAGGAGTTAAAGCTAAAGCATGTCCACTAAGAGCCAGAATATATTCAAGAGTGGATGTGAATTGTGTTTCTAGGACATGCTTGCCTTGTAAACAATCATGCAACTGAAGTTATGTATATTACTAGAATGATTAGGATTGTGTGAACACACAAACAGAAAAATATCAGTTTTTTTTGGGAATTTATCCTGATTTTGACTATTTTAGCATTTGGAAACTAAATGAAGGAAGTTTGGCCAATTTGAACTCCTTATTCACATAAGAAAAAATACTTTTGCATCCCAGAAAAAAAAGAAAGAAAATTTTATTTCACTTACTTATCCATTCACTCTTAAAAAAAAAAACTTCTACATAAGCACTGTACTAGGGAGGTACTGGGGGTACAATTGTGTAAAATAAGTATAGCAGCAAAAGTTTACCTAGTTTATATAGGTACCAGGAACTATTATAACAAAAATTAAATCACACAGTTTTTCTAATAGCCCTATGAGGTAGGTAGGATGATCACCTTTGTTATATGGCTCAGAAACTGAACTTTCCCAAGGTTACAAAGTTAACAGGCTGTGAAGCAAGGCTGTGAGAACAGTAATCCTAGCTCCAGAGCCAAATTCTTAACACTGCACTATGCCTTGCACAGAGATTGATGAATAGCACCCCAGCCTCATTGAACTTTTGTCTATCACTGGAGAGAGACATGAAACAAATAGTGTTAATGACACTGGAAGTGCAGGATAGGTGAGAGTAAACCAAGGGGAGGCGATCCTCTCCCATTCTTGTTCCCTGTGCGTTTTACCCTCCTCCTCTGTGGTACCAGCTCCCTATGCATTCTCATTGACTAAACCAAGCATGGAGCAGGCACTAGCCTCGTGCTGGATCCTGGCTATCTTCAGTATGATGCATCTGGAAACTTGTGAATTCTCCATAAGAAAAATCATCTCTGGTACATGGTAAAGAGCAAAGCTGTAAAACGCCTCTGGCAGTCAGGTGTCAATTTCCTAGCTGCTCCTTGTGGGCATGTATAAAATCCTCACTATTAGTATTTTATATTTCTTCCTGCTGATATTTCCCCTGAAAATGATTTTATTAATGTGAGGATTCAAAAGGACAATGTGAAGCGAAAATTAAGTAATTTTTTCATACTACAAAAAATCCTTCATGTGGTAACTGATGGTTTGAGCTAAATCTTCTTTGCTCATTTTGGTTCCACAGCCTAATTAACACTGGCTTGCAATCAAGGCTATTATTCTAGTAGCTACTTCCTCCACAGACCTGCCACTGCAGTGCTTCTGACCCTACTTCTTGTTTTCAAGTTCACACAATACATCTTTTCTAAAATGAAGCTAGTGGTATTAGCTATCTCCCCCACTGTTTCTCTTTGCAGATTCCTTTTTTTTTTTTTTTTATTCCTAGGGCTCTCTCTGGAATGAAAGCATTTTTTCTATTTTGCAAAGGCCTCCTTTCACACTGGAAAAAAATTGGAGTTTGGTACTAAGTAAAGTGGAGGCCCTCTGACAGTAAAATGATTAGAAAGCACTTTGTTCAGAATTCTAATCCCCTGCCCCACTGTGAGCATAGGATTACTCCCCAGTACATGTTCAAGGGGCCCTGCAGGGCAATGGAAGGACAGAGGCCTCAGAGTCAGACAGATTTAATTTTAAATTTGAACTCCATTGCTCTCTAGCTAGGTGACCTTGGGCACATTGGCTAAACCCTCAAAGCCTCAGTGTCCTCATCTGTAAAGTAGGGATAATAATATCTACTTTGCAGAGTTGTTTCAAAGATTCTGGAAGTGCAGATCAGTGCACATAGCAAAGCATGCTTTTTCTTTTTGGGGGAGGGAAGGGAGATCATGGTCAGGGTGCAGGAACATTGGGTAGAACTGGGTCTGAATGTCAAGGCCAGCACACAGCAGAAGTAAGCAGGCAGTGTGGGGTCCATAATGAGACTTCATGTGAGGTCCAGAATCAGACAGACCTGGTAAATTCCATCTTTGCTATTTAGTGGTCATATGATCTTTCCTTCTACTATAAACTGGGGGATTTAATACCTGTTCAAAGGTATTAGGAAGATTAAGTTGGATATTTGCAAAGCACTTAACCCAGCGCCTGATGCATAGTTAAGTGCCCAATAATTGATAACTTGTGATTATGTTGGTA